TTCCAGCGAGCTGCTGCTCTGCTAGCCGCTGCTGCTGCTGCTGCGAGAGAAGAAGAAGGAGAAGGAGAAGAAGAAGGAGAAGGGAGAAGGAGGAGAAGAAGAGGAGTGAAGCTCGTTTCCCTTCCGCACCGAGAGAGGGACGCTGTTTTCTACGCATGAGGATCTGAGGGCACCGGGAAAACAAGCTCCGGAACCGAGCCTTTCTGACACCAGAACCCCGGGCAGCGGAGAGCTTTTGGACCTGAGGGGGTGATGGAGTCCAGGAGGAGAGTACATTAATCACAAGGTAGGAACATGGAAGTGCCATTTATTTTACAATCTCAATCTGTATTCATTTACACAGCACATTTAACACAACCTCAGTGGACCAAAGTGCTGTCAAGGGAACAAATACAATATATAAAATAACACAATAGGAGTACAATAATAAAACAATAACTAGAAACCTATAAAGACATATAGAAATGTCAAAATGTCATATTCAACTATATTAGAAGCCAGTGCAAAGAGGTGAGATATACGCGTTAATGCACGGGTGTGTGTTGGCTCTTTTCTTCATATGTACATGATGAATGCATCACACACACTCATGCATGTCTGTGTGGCAGTGTGTGTGTGTGTGTGGCAGAGCTTCCATTTTGGAGCTAAAATGGATGCTGGCGCACATTTCTCTGGCCTTTTCTTACATAATCCCGGAGGCTGCAGTATGCTCCGTGTTCACAGGGAGGCTATAGCATGTGTGTAGCATGTTTATAGCATGTGTGTAGCATGTTTAATCCCTCTCTCTGCATGGGATGAAACGCAGAGCTGCTGAACGACAGAGGCATGCTGGAGATGGAGAACAGTCCTTCATGTTGCAGTGTTTACATCGTGCTGTGAGGGAATGCATCTCATTAGGAGTTGATCATGCAGTCTAGAAAACATCACGAGAAAGAACTCTGATCGTTTGTTTGAGTAAAGGTGATACTCAGTGGTGTAAAGCACATCTTTGAGGGCACATGTTACTCTTTGACAGCTGTTACAGGTGCAGGATTTCATCTAATACAACATATACAATTAATAATGTACATGCTATGGTCAGATATCCAGCAGCAGTAAAGTCATTACAATGAGCTCCATCTTCACACGTGTGTATGTATGTATCTTTGTACTATATGTATCTGTATGTGTATATATATGTGTGTGTATGTATATGTGTCAATCAACAAGTAAAGCAGATTAATAATAATAATATTATAATAATGATAATTATTTATAGATTATAGATTATAAATAAATAATTTAGGGACAAGGGAGTGAGATTAAATAAATTACTTCTTCTCACTCCTTTTCGAACACTAGACGTGGGACTGTTTATGTTGCTAATGCTGTTGTTGTTGTTGTTGTGTTAACATAATCTCCACACGTCTACCCTACTTTGATCATTTTCTAATCATGATTCGAAAATGATAAAAGTAGGGTAGACGTGTGGAGATTATCCGACTGAACAAAACGTGATCCGTCTCTTCAATGCGTTTCGACCACAAACCTGATTTCCAGCTATTTTCCAAAAATCCTCTGGAGAGATCTCACTGGGTTTTTGTCGAGGGAACCGGAAGGAACCGGAAGGAACCCATGCGCAGCTTACGTCCGGGTTTTAGGACGCGTCACTGCGCCACTCTATAAACGTATCATATTCTTTGCAAGCTCTTACGGGGCCTCGTGAAATGAAGTCGTGCCAAATCCCTGATTCAGACTGTTATTGTGTAAAAGGGTCAAAGTCAACTTTATTGTCAATCTCAAAATATGTTTGTACTCAGAAAGTTTCCTACAGTCCAGAGGTATAAAAACACTCACACATTAAAATACAAGAACACTCAATAATAATACAAAAAACACAAAATAACCGTTTACTTCAAGTTCACAAGTTCACAAGGTTCAAGGTTCAAGGTTCAAGGTTAGTTTATTTGTAAAGCACATTTTAAGACACAGAGGCATTCAACACATACTAATTCAAAACAAAACAAACACACAAACAAAAAAGACAATTCATAAAAGCGAGAATATGTCTGCAGCTCAAAGTGCGATAAGGCTGAAGGAGAAACGGTGTTAACGTATTTTTCCGAATGTCAGGCAGTTTGTTCCAGGCTTGTGTTTAAATGAAAGCTAAAAGCTGCCTCGGCCAAATGTAGTTCTGACAACGGATAAAAGCTCCTGAAGAAAAGAGACCTCTGGCTCCAACATTGAAGCACCTTTTTACATTGGCCATTGTTTCTACTTGAGATGTGTTCTGATGTTTGTTCCTTTCAGGACTCCACGTGCTCTGTGTTTCGCCCTCATGTTGGATTCATGTTTCTGTGGTCTTCATTTGAACCTTTGATCTTTCTTGTGAAGCACTTTGTGGCACGACTGAATTCCTGCTCCGTGATTAATAAAGTGTGAACTCCTTCTTCTTCTCCTCTCACAGATTCCTCCTGAAGTGTGAGACTCTCTCTGGTCCTTCTCCAATCTCTTCCTCCCGACCCCTCAGCTGACCCTACCTCCCCAAAAGCATCATCATGGGCACCGTGCTCTCTCTGTCGCCCAGCTACCGGAAGGCGGCGCTGTTTGATGACGGCCCGGCGACGGTGGGACACTACACCGCGGTGCAGAACAGCAAAAACGCCAAAGATGCCAAGGACAACACCTCCAACAACGCCGGGAAATCCTTCAAACGTCCGTCCATCATCAGCGTGCTGCCATGGAAACGCATCGTGGCGGTGTCGGCGAAAAGGAAGGAATCGAAAAAGCTGCAGGCGGAGGGCGGAGACAACGGGAAAGGAAACTCTCCGGACGCCACGATCACCGTGAGTTCGGCGTCTAATAGCCTGAAGCTGAAGAAATCCCAGTCGTGCGCGAATCTGTCCTTGTTTTCCTCCGGCCCGGACGCAACGGCGAGCTCCACCATCGCCAACGTTAAAGTCAGAGTCGCCCACCTGCCGGTTTCTAAAACCCTCGCCAACGTCAACGTAGCCTCCAGGAAGAGTTCCCACGCCGGGGTCCAGCCCTCCAACGCCACCGGGACGCCGAAACGGGTCATCGTCCAGGTAAGCATTCCATCAGAAACAGCTAGTCGTGTCTCTTTGCCAGAAAACCTGAACATGCCAGATAATAAATAAATACACGTTATTTATACCTTTCATGCTTAACGCAGCCCGAAGTGCCAAAACGCGTTATTATCCAGGTAAATATTTCATCAAAAACAGCTTTTTTTTTTGTCTCTATTTCCAATCCAACTTTATTGATCCAGCACATTTAAAAACAACAGAGTTGACCAACGTGCTTTACATCAATACATTTAGACAAACCGATCGGACGTCAAAGCACGAGACAATAAAACCATACTTATAAACACAGTAGAGATGTCCCGATCCGATCACGTGATCGGGGATCGGAGCCAGATCACGTGATTTTCAAAAGATCGGAATCGGGAAAAAAAAATCGGGGATCGGGATTTTTTTTTTTTTTTTTTTTATAAAATATTTTTATATTTTTACGACGAGTACACAGCGGCCACTCAGGTAACGGCACTGAAACAACTGACACGTTCAGAGACTTTTAAAAGGAAAGAGAAACTGCCCCAGAACAGTGAAAAGGCCAAAAAAATAACAGCCAAGATAGCTGAATTCATCGCGTTGGATGACCAGCCGTTATCTGTTACATTTTTTTTCTCTTAATGCATTGCATAAAGATCGGATCGGGAAAAATCGGTATCGGCAGATTGTCAAAATCAAATGATCGGAATCGGATCGGGAGCAAAAAAAGGTGATCGGGACATCCCTAAAACACAGACTGAAAAAACTTTCACACACGATGTAAAAAACATTTAAAAACACAAGAAAATAGAAAACCCAAAAAGCCCGGGTCTTTAAACGAGATTTAAAAACAGGCAAAGCTTATTTAAAGATAAGACAAGAAGCACTTTATTGATCCCAGTTTGGGAAATGTTTGCGTTCAGACAAGGCATTGAACATGAACTTTGTAGAGATTTGAACTTTGTTTTAAAACAGTGGAAAGCTCAGGAGTTTCCTCGAATATCTTTAGCAGATTCAGTCCACCTCTCTCGTCTCATATCCCCCTCCCACTTCTCTCCCCTCCCAGGCGTCCACCAGCGAGTTGATGCGCAGCCTCGGAGAGTTCCTGTGCCGCCGCTGCTACCGTCTGAAGCGCCTGTCTCCGACGGACCCGGTGCTGTGGCTGCGGAGCGTCGACAGGTCTCTGCTCCTCCAGGGCTGGCAGGACCAAGGCTTCATCACCCCGGCTAACGTGGTCTTCCTCTACATGCTGTGCCGCGACGTGGTCTCCTCCGAGGTGGTCTCAGAGCGAGAGCTTCAGGCGTCGCTGCTCACCTGCCTCTACCTGTCCTACTCGTACATGGGTAACGAGATCTCGTACCCGCTGAAGCCCTTCCTGGTGGAGGCGGAGAGGAAGGAGCTCTTCTGGGACCGATGCCTGGACATCATCGACAGGATGAGCGGAAAGATGCTTCAGATCAACACCGACCCGCACTTCTTCACCCAGGTGTTCTCAGACCTGAAGAACGAGAGCAAGAAGGAGGAGGAGAAGACCAAGCTGCTCATAGGCCTCGACCGATAAGAGGAGGAGGGAAGGAGGGAAGTGAGGAGGGAAGGGAGGATAGAAAGGGTTCATATGTTGAGGACTAATGGTGCGTTCACACCGGACGGAAAGCACATTTCAAACCTCTTATTTATTCATAATTTGTTATCAGGGTTTATCTCCATGTAGATACGATACGATAATACTTTAACGGTCAGATCAAGTCTGAAATGCTCCTTGCATCACAGCAGCTCCATGTGTAACATCAACAACAAACATTTAACATTTAACATAACATCAGGATCAGTGTTGCTGCTTCGTGCATGATGCGTGTGTCCGTGTGTCCGTGTGAGTGTGCGAGCGTGCGAGCGTGTGTCCGTGCGAGCGTGTGTCCGTGTGAGCGTGCGAGCGTGCGAGCGTGCGAGCGTGTGTCCGTGCGAGCGTGTGTCCGTGTGAGCGTGTGAGCGTGTGTCCGTGCGAGCGTGCGAGCGTGTGTCCGTGTGAGCGTGCGAGCGTGTGTCCGTGTGAGCGTGTGTCCGTGCGAGCGTGCGAGCGTGCGAGCGTGTGTCCGTGTGAGCGTGTGTCCGTGCGAGCGTGCGAGCGTGCGAGCGTGTGTCCGTGCGAGCGTGTGTCCGTGTGAGCGTGCGAGCGTGTGTCCGTGCGAGCGTGTGAGCGTGTGAGCGTGTGAGCGTGCGAGCGTGTGTCCGTGTGAGCGTGTGTCCGTGCGAGCGTGCGAGCGTGCGAGCGTGTGTCCGTGCGAGCGTGTGTCCGTGTGAGCGTGCGAGCGTGCGAGCGCGAGCGTGCGAGCGTGTGTCCGTGTGAGCGTGCGAGCGTGCGAGCGTGCGAGCGTGCGAGCGTGTGTCCGTGTGAGCGTGTGTCCGTGTGAGCGTGCGAGCGTGCGAGCGTGTGTCCGTGCGAGCGTGTGTCCGTGTGAGCGTGCGAGCGTGCGAGCGTGCGAGCGTGTGTCCGTGTGAGCGTGTGTCCGTGTGAGCGTGCGAGCGTGCGAGCGTGCGAGCGTGCGAGCGTGTGTCCGTGTGAGCGTGTGTCCGTGTGAGCGTGTGAGCGTGTGAGCGTGTGTCCTTGTGAGCGTGTGAGCGTGTGTCCGTGTGAGCGTGCGAGCGTGCGAGCGTGTGTCCGTGTGAGCGTGCGAGCGTGCGAGCGTGCGAGCGTGCGAGCGTGCGAGCGTGCGAGCGTGTGAGCGTGTGAGCGTGTGTCCTTGTGAGCGTGCGAGCGTGCGAGCGTGTGAGCGTGTGTCCGTGTGAGCGTGTGAGCGTGTGAGCGTGTGTCCTTGTGAGCGTGTGAGCGTATGTCCGTGTGAGCATGCGAGCGTGCGAGCGTGTGAGCGTGTGAGCGTGCGAGCGTGGGAGCGTGTGTCCGTGTGAGCGTGCTTCAGCTCAACAGAGCAGTGGAGCGATTCCTCGGAGCAGTTTTGTTGTCCGGCGTCTCTTTCACTTCATCATTAACCACATCTCCTCGTGAGCTTCTGGGTGTTAAACAGTGTTTGGGTAATGAGCCACCTGAACACTAAACACAGAAGACAGAGACCTTGGACGCGATTAGATTCTCAAGACAGACGTGTTACTTTACTTTACGTGTTCGTGTCCAACACCATGGAGTCGGGGTGAGACTATAAACCTTCTTTAAAGATCATTTGTTTCTCAAGAACGATTAGAAAAAGGTTCTGAGGATCAGAGACATGCATCTGTTGCTCTTTAGCCAGACTACACAGGTGTACGACTGAAAGGTGAATACCATAAGTACAAAGTGTATTGATGATAGTGTGTGAGACGTTTCCGCTATAGAGGAATGTCCCGGGATGGAGAATCCAGAAGCACCTTGCATGAGATCACTTCATCACGTGCTCGCACATCCAAAACCTGCTTTTTGCCAAATCCAGCTCACCTTTTCCCCACAACCACCTGCCCTCCAAGTCCACTTTCTGAACTCTACAGAAAGCTGGGCTCGAATCAAACACAACGACCGCAAAGTTGTGTGACTGTGAGACGAAGGGTTTGCACCGTGTCGGGTGCAAAGTTGTCAAATTGGCTCTTAATTGAGTATGAAAAGCTCATCTTTGGGCACTGTCTAATACCCTGAATCAGCCCGTCTGTTTACATGAAGACATTCGGGGGAAACGCAATAGATATTCTAAAGGGGGATTTATTTATTGACTTCCTGTTCCCCTGCACTTTGACCTGCAGTCCATATTGGTGCTGTGACCACAGAGAGAGAAAGGGATAACAAACGTACAAACAACCGAAAGATAGAAAGACGTACAGGTCGAAAGAATGGAAGAACAAACAAACTAACGAACGAACGAACGAAAGATTCAAAGACAGAAAGACCGGACGAAAGAAAGAACAAACACACAAAATAAATACGAAAGACGTCCAGGTCGAAATACGGAATGAACGAATAAATAAAGACCGAATGAATGACAGAAAGACAGATATTCTGTTCACGTCCCTCTGCTCTCATCTTGTCTTCTTCTTCTTCTTCTGAATGATCGCTGGAGGACCTTTTTTCCGAGGGTTGATCATGTGACCTGCCTCGACCAATGGCTACAGAAGGAAATGACTTTATTCCAGACGTGTAAATGTGACTCTTCTTCCTCCTCTTCCTCCTCACAGAGACTCTCTGTCCTCCCGTCGTCACATGTCTACAGACTCTCTGATTGGTCCGTTATTTACAGTTATTTCACGTGCATGTGTGCTTCTTTAGGTTTCCTGTAGCATGCTGCTTTGTGTCGGGACACTTGAGACTGAAGTGACACTCAGCGATGTGACGTCTGGAGAAAGATATCGTCTTGAAACCATCGATGAATGGAAGTCTGAAAAACCCCGGGAATGAGTCAGCGTTTGGTCTCTGTTCCCTGATCTGGAGTTCAATGAGTCAGCGTTTGGTCTCTGTTCCCTGATCTGGAGTTCAATGAGTTGTTGGTTGTTAAAAGAGTGGAAAGCTCAAGGCACGTTTATTTATATCGCACATTTCAACACAAGGCAATTCAAAGTGCTTTACAAAAATGAAAGACATTAAGAGCATAAAACACATTAGAAACACTAAAAAGAAAAGATAATAAAACATGAATTTGATTTGATTTATTTGGAATGTGTAAAACAATCATACACATTTTTTTACATGAGAAATATTATACAATTCAAAATCAAGCATTGTCAAATTGATATATTAAAATATTACTGATTTTAAGTTATATATAAACAAATTATCTGCTCAATTACATCTGAAAAGGGTTGGGAAGAAGTTTACACTTATGTAATCCCCTTCTCCCAAAAACTACATTATTAACATTTATATATCTTCTTTCTTGAATCTCTGGACTTAAAACCTTTTTTTCTCAAAATCTCAAAATATTGACTTTTTAAAAAAATCTCAAAATTATGACTTTTTAAAAAAATCTCAAAATTATGAGTTTTTTTAAAAAATCGCAAAATTATGACTTTTTAAAAAAATCTGAAAATTATGACTTTTAAAAAAATCTGAAAATTATGACTTTCGCAAAATTCTCAATTCTCAAAATTCTGTCCTATTTGAAGACTTCCTTCATGAGTCTTCGGACGTTCAACCTATTTCTAGTTTCACAGAATTGGAGCATGATAATAACTGAACGCTGCTCAGGAGATTCCTGGAAGACGTCGTCACATCACTGAGTCGAACAGGAAGCCGAAGAACTCTCTCTTCAGTTTCAGAAAAGTCTCTCAGACATCTCGTCTTCTTCAGATTCATCAAAGAGCGCACACTAAGTCTCTGACTGCTGGACAACAAAGACTTTTAAAGGAATCGTGAATAGGGTTTTTTTCCCCACAACGTCATATATAACAGATGAAGGAGTCATGTGTGCAAAACGTGAGCTAATATTGGAGTCATCGGAACCTGGAGCCTTCAGTTTTCTGTGTGACACAAACTCCATGTGGCCTCCATTTGATGGGAGAAAAACGTAATCAATTCCCATTTTTAACTACATTTTAAATCTTCCCAACCAATCAGATCGTCTCACGTGTTTCTGGACACGTTGCCGATGTTTTAACGTGGTCAAATAATAATGTAGCCTCCATGCAGACGCCATGTGAAACATATGCATAGATCATATATCCCAGTATTCAAACAGTACACTAGTAGCACTCCACTGTAAAAAATGACTGTCAGATCATCTTTCTTTTTCATCATTTGTCGTATTTTGAGTGGGATTTAAATCACAGCAAACGTTTGGTTGACAGAAAGAAGTCGTAACGGTCAATTGTGTTGTATTAAATACAAATTCAACACTTTGATGATCCAGGTTTTGGATGCTTTCGAACGACAGAAGGAGAGACAATGTTTTTATTTGTGTTTTCTCGAGATTTTTCACCGTTTTTTGCTTCCACCTTCCTGCCGTGCAAGGACACTTAAAAAGGAGGCAAGGACACGAGGACAGGAGGCGAGGAAAGGAAAACGGGACGCGTCCTCTGAATGAACCTTTTTCTTGCTCTGATCATCCATCACCATGACGACGATGTGCCATATTCGATCTGTTCGGTGTCACGTGTGAAGATAACGATGGATTCTGGGTTTCCTTCCTCTTCATCTGTGTCGTCGTGTTAAAAGGCTTCTCTGTTTCTGTGGATGTATGGAAGTGAATGTGAGAAATAAGAACCATTGATCTACTGTTACAGGTACTTTATATAAAAACCTTTACAAGCTGCGTGTGTGTGGGTTATTTTTAGAGACTTTTATTTTGAGACAGTTCCTGTTCTGACCACAGGGGGCAGCACTGAGACGGAGCATTCATAGCTATTAATACAATCACAATAAGAATACTTTATTGATCCCAGAGACTGATCTTGAGATGCTCGATTTAATAATTAAATAAATAAGAAATACTGTAAAAAACAGTTTGAGTTTGTAAGTATAATTAAAAGATAAAATAAAATAAAAGTTTTTTGTTTTTTGTAACATGATGAAATATTAAACTATAATATTAAAATGTATATATAATTATTATTATAATATAATTTAAAACATGTAAAAAGAGAACAAATGTAATGTAAATGTAAAAACCATATTGTATAATAATATGGTCCCTGTGTAGCTGTCCAAGGTGCTGAAGAGGATATACGAGTGTGTGTACATGGTGCTCTCCATGGTGCTGAAATACTTCTAGCTCTGAGTGTTTAAAGCTGATCATATATCCAGTCTAAACATGTACATTAACACGATTTAATTTCACTTGCTTTTTGATTTATCTTATAATAAGTGTTGCAAATCAGATAGATAGATAACCTCTTGAAATGTTGCATTCAAGTAAAGCCTGAGTCCTCTTCAAGGTCACTTCTGATTGGTTCATGTACTGAACATTATGTACTTATTGCTCTCTGTGTATCCCTTTAGATTAGTTTTCAGTTTTCTATCCTGATGCACAGAGACAGTGGGTGTTTCTCAATGTCGAGGAAGGATGCTCCAGAGCCACTATTTCAAGGATGCTACGTCATCGAGTGCCGCCGAAGGACTGTTCCAATGTCCAGGATCCTTGGAGTTCTACCGAGGCCGGCGTCCTTCGTTGCGGGAAATTTCGAGTGTATCCTCCGCGGTCTTAAAATCCCCACAATGCTTTGCGCACGGAACCAATTTCCAAATCTTAGGCGGAAATCGCGCTCCATTTAAGGCGGGGCCTCTCATATGACGCGCACCTGCACACCTGTTAGCCTGTTAGCCTGTTAGCCTGTTAGCCTGTTAGCCTGTTAGCCTGTTAGCTTGTTCCACCATTTGTCGTTTTCCGAGGCTAGGAAGGATTCTTGCCTCGCTTCTGAATGACCTGACTCAGAGGGACATGTCCTTCCAAGGAAGCGTCCTCGACATTGAGAAACACCCAGAGTTTCAGCAGAGGAGCTGTCCGTGGTGCTGAAGCAGAGAAAGACCTCAATATTTACCTAAATAAACGATGTTTTATACAATAATAGAGCAAAAAAAGCTCTATGGTATGGAAGCCCGTTTCAGCCACTGATAGGAAAAAGTCATTTGAATGAGAAACTGTCTCAAAGATATTAGGAAAACTCCAAATCAAGACTCAGTATCTTAATATCTTCACATCATAAAACAATATATTTGGCTCTGTATAATTTGACATATACAAAAATAATGACTTTTTTAACCCAACAACAATCTGACTGAATATCTCAACAAAAAAAACGTTATGACTTAAAGTCAAAATAATTTCGTATCTCAACACTTTGACTCATAATCTCATTATTTCTGACTTAAAGGTCACCTATCACGCTTTGTTCAGGCAATAGCATAGGTCTCAGATATATACAAATATATAAAAAACATGTCTATGAAGTGTTTTGCTCCAAACACCAAACAGATCACCCATTCTAGCCATGCCTCATATCCCTCTATTTCACTTCCTGTTTCTAAAGTGCTGATTTGGGGTATAAAGCTTTAAAAAGTAGGGGTCTGAGCTCATGCGGGACCCGGCAGCTACTGTCTAAACTAAATGCTGCCGTGATGAAACGCCATATCATGGATTATCAAGGATTGTCTCTGAAACAGTATGGAGCTCAAAGGCTTTCTCTCTTGCCGGTTATACCACAAGGTGAGTTCCTTTTTATTTCCTGCTTCTTCACACACATGCTCTCCAGTACAGGTTAGCTCTGAGTGTTAGCGATGCTAATGGAAACACCGACCATATTACGTCCAAAACAGTCGGGCATTGTTTCTGATAGCAACGTCTCTGATTGGGCCGTGGGTCCACATTTCAGATATTACGTCATATCGGACGCAAATCTGGATCAGCTCCGTTGTTCCCCCGTTTTTAGAGATTTGGGTACGGAGGAAAAGAGAGAGGGTTTTATTTCCTGACGCTGCGTGAGTTCCCTGACGCACCGGGGACTCACATGGTGATGTAGAAAAGACATCAACAAGTGCATTTTGCATGATAGGTCCCCTTTAAGTTAGTATCTCAAAGATATGACAAAAATCTCAATTCAATTCATTATTTTGACTGAATATCTAAAAAATATTGACATATTATCTCGTTATTTTTGATATAATCGCTGAACAATGTCTCCCTCATTGTATTGATCTTCCTTATTAAAGCACCAACATTATCAGGTGAGTGATAGATCAATGACATCATCTGTAGACATGTTTAAATAATGAGCCACTAAGTGAAAATATTGAGATGTTTTTGTCATTATTTTTGAGATAATCAGCCAAATTATTAAAATACTAAATCAAAAATATTGATAAAGTTTCATTAATTTGTGATAATCATTACCTACCCCACCTTTAATATCTCAAAATATTGACTTTGTATCTCGTTATTTTGACTTGAATGATTAAAAAAAACATATGAATGCACCAACAGGTAGATTAGTGACGTCACCTGTACAGTATGCTTCCATTGATGCCTCTCCACGCTGTGACGTCGTCCTCATGTTTCTCTCTGTTATCTGCCACGTGAGGCTCACCCCGGCCGTGGACCCTCCTCCTGTGCACGCGAGCTAATCAGACCACTTCCGCTCCCAGCAGCCAATCAGATGTCTGTGCGCCGCGGCTTATAAACCGTTCATCGTCTCCTCCTCTCTCGTCTCCTCGCCTCCTCTTCTCTTCTCCTCCTTTCAACACAGACCTGATCCTCGGACAAACTGAACCATGGCGGCCCGGGTAAGAAAACACACCGTGATTATTATATGTATTTACCCCGATATTAGTCACAAAATGGTGTCTGTGCTAAAGGGGATAAAGAAGGGGAAAATGGCGTAGAAGCATCGAGAGATTTCTGTCTGATCCTCCTGATGGAGAGGATTTATATATTCCGCTTTATGGAGATTTCCCACTCTGCTTTATATCCCGATATGTCGCAGCTTGTCCTCCCGTCATGTCGCAGCTTTATGTCAGCAGGATGTATTCTGTGCACCTTATTCTGCAGCTCATCTGCTCTGCGTTAATCTCTGCTGCTGCTGCTGCTGCTGCTGCTGCTGCTGCGTGCCCTTGAGCCACCGGAAACGCTTTTATATTTAACGAGCTTTGCACCTGAAATAAATAAACGAGAGGACGTTTTAAAGTGTGTGTGTGTGTGTGTGTGTGTGTGTGTGTGTGTGTGTGTGTGTGTGTGTGTGTGTGTGTGTGTGTGCGTGTGTGTGTGTGTGTGGCGTGTGTGTGAGATTTCCACCGTGTGAGACAGAAATCTGCGGGATTTTCGGTGCAGAATGCGGGTTGTTTGGAGGCTGGTAGATGCTTGCAGATATATTTCACGGTGCTGCACAGGGAGGTGTGTGTGTGCGTGTGCGTGTGCGTGTGTGTGTGTGTGTGTGTGTGTGTGTGTGTGTGTGTGTGTGTGTGTGTGTGTGTGTGTGTGTGTGTGTGTGTGTGTGTGTGTGTGTGTGTGTGCTCAGGCCCTGCTGTAGAGGACACACAGCATGCATCTGTCAGAGTAGCGGAACCAAGTGCATCTGTTTGTATCTTGCAAATCTAATATATCATATTCCATTTACTTGGATACGGACTCTTCTTGCACTATTTTATTTGTATTATCTGTTCTATGTCCTATATATATTCATGTTGCTCTGTTGGAGGAGGACTTCAGTTTGTCATTGACATATCTCTGCAGCTGCTGAGCTCATGATGAGAGAGAGTTGAAATTGAATCGTGACAAAGTGTGATTTGATGCGTCATGATGTTTATATTCCCGGTGGAAGGTGTGCAGAGACTCAGTGAATGATCCCAGGTGGAGGTATGAGTCTCTCTCTTGTTTAAAAATGCACAGATATAGCAGATACCAGATGATAAAGAGAGCAGGGAGAGGCAGGAAACACACTTTAAGAACAACAAATGACATGAAGATGAATATAATATACATTTATAAGACGTGTCTAAACGAGTTTGCATTCTGATTTGATTTGACATATATTAAAGGTGTATAGAGTAGTTGTGTGAATGAAGATCCTGTTTCCTCCAACAGTGCAGGATGAGATTATAGCTCTGATGTCCGTGCAGTAAACATGCAGCTAATGCTTGTTGCTACTTAGCTTAGCTTTCAGACGGCAACACGCAGGCTACACCAAACACTGTAAAAGGTCATGTGATGAAGAGCACGTCAGCCTCCATGGAGAGAGGACTTTCCACCTGGAGAAACAACGTCAGACTGGTTTGAAACCTGAACAAACAGACTGGTTTGAACCCACAATGTGTTTTCCAAAGCCTGACTGTAATAAAGCAAGGCACTGAAACCCCACAACTGCCCCTGGAGATTGATGACTCTCACATTTCAGAATCAGAACACCTTTATTCGTCCCACAGAAAAGAGCCACAGACAGCTTCATGTTAACTAAGAAGCATGCGTTACAACATATTCAACACACATTTAAAAAGAAAATGACATATTTTACAAAATACACAGTTCTGAGATTTATTAGCCAGGTATATATTGCACAGTTATTAACGGCATATATATATATTGCACATTATTGGTGTTATTTGGGGTGTGTAGGCAAGGCAACGTTTATTTATATATAGCACAACACAAGGCAATTCAAAGTGAAAAGACGGACCCTCAGACGTCTTAGAAATGACCGTGTTAATCTTTAAATGGTTGGATGTAGATCTTAAGAAATGGAGAGCTTTGTCTCCTTCTGTCTATTTGAGTTTCTTGTTGAAATCCTGCAGAGTCACGAAGCTAGAAGCTGCAGCAACACGCAGCAACAATAATGTTGATGTGTTGATGTTACACCACGAGGAGAGCGAACGTAATCACGTGCATGAATGCGTGAGAGCGAGCCTTTTAGACCCTTTAATATATCATGTTCTAGTTTCTCACGTTCACGCAGAAGTGGCTCTCGGGGGTTAAAAGGAGTGGTAGCTGTGATTGTTTAAAGTGATCTGAGATGGATGAAACACACCGTCTGTTACGACTGGAAGAACGGGTTTGAACTCAAATGCACGACTCACACAGGTTTGAACAAAAAAGGGTTTATTCAAACCAAAGCTCAACTACAATGGTGTAAAAAACAAAGTCACTCTGAAAGGTAGGGTAGGTACGTTTGAGAAACCGGCTCGAGATCGCTAGAATTAGAAAATACACAACCGGAGAAAATCTGCCACTTCCTTACAGAGCCCCTCCTCCAACACACACGAACGCGCACATGACCAATGAGGGCACGAGATAAGTTTGTGCACAGATGGAAGGCTGACAGGCAGGTAGGCCATCCAGTTATTTTAGCCGGCTCAGATGATTGGTCGTGCTTTTTACAGTACTACAGCTTCCACAGATGATATTTCTTTATGGATTCTTTGTCAAAGCACTTCAGATATTCATTGCTATCAGGATGTTAAGAGCATTCCATGGAATATAACAACAAGTGTATCTCGAGCCGGTTTCTCAAACTTACCTACCCCACCTTTAAAGAGGAAAAACACTAGGAGCATGAATAACAAAATACAAGACAAGACGTGGCTCAAAGCTCTGCTTGGGAAGTTGGGAGTTTTCCTGGCATGATACGCTGGTTGTAGTCACAAGGAACGCAACTAACTGGCACAGGACAAAGGGAGACGAGGACAATAAATACACCAGGTCATGAACAGGTGGAAACAATCAGGGGAGACAATCACAGGAGTGGGAGACACACAAGGAAGGGAGGTCAGAGTATCTGAAACGAGAGGGAAGGTTACTATTCACACATCAGGTTGCACTCAAAGGGCCGGCTGTAACTTTAAGAATATATACAAATATACATACATATTATATAAAATAATGTATTATATTACACCAGAACATCAGCAGGAGAGGACTCTTTAAAGTAGAGACACTACATACTGATATACACCTGAACATCAGCAGGAGAGGACTCTTTAAAGTAGATACACTACATACTGATATACACCTGAACATCAGCAGGAGAGGACTCTTTAAAGAAGAGACACTACATACTGATATACACCTGAACATCAGCAGGAGTGGACTCTTTAAAGTAGAGACACTACATACTGATATACACCTGAACATCAGCAGGAGAGGACTCTTTAAAGTAGAGACACTACATACTGATATACACCTGAACATCAGCAGGAGAGGACTCTTTAAAGTAGAGACACTACATACTGATATACACCTGAACATCAGCAGGAGAGGACTCTTTAAAGTAGAGACACTACATACTGATAAACACCTGAACATCAACAGGAGAGGACTCTTTAAAGTAGAGACACTACATACTGATATACACCTGAACATCAGCAGGAGAGGACTCTTTAAAGTAGAGACACTACATACTGATATACACCTGAACCTCAGCAGGAGAGGACTCTTTAAAGTAGATACACTACATACTGATATACACCTGAACATCAGCAGGAGAGGACTCTTTAAAGTAGAGACACTACATACTGATATACACCTGAACATCAGCAGGAGAGGACTCTTTAAAGTAGAGACACTACATACTGATATACACCTGAACATCAGCAGGAGAGGACTCTTTAAAGTAGAGACACTACATCAATCTTTATTCTCCACCTTTTTATCCCAGCGACGCACCTCTCGCTGCTGCACCTTGCACCATTGTGATGCTCTCACACACACACACACACACACACACACACACACACACACACACACACACACACACACACACACACACACCATCACAGCTGATAACTGAGAGAGGTGTCTAAAGAACAGACTGTATGGAGATCCCTGCCTCCATGGTTACTGCTGCTACGTCATTTTATCAGCTGCAGCTAATTAGATGATTAGACATAAGCTTAATCAACACACACACACACACACACACACACACACACGCACAATCAATGCTTGTGGTTAACGTAACTGTTAGCGTGGATGTGATATAACATGTAGCGGTTTCATGTCTGCCATGTTAAGCTCAGGCTGGATTTTACGTGTGTGTGTGTGTGTGTGTGTGTGTGTGTGTGTGTGTGTGTGTGTGTGTGTGTGTGTGTGTGTGTGTGTGTGTGTGTGTGTGTGTGTGTGTGTGTGTGTGTGTGTGTGTGTGTGTGTGTGTGTGTGTGTGTGTGTGTGTGTGTGTGTGTGTGTGTGTGTGTGTGTGTGTGTGTGTGTGTGTGTGTGTGTGTGTGTGTGAAGGAGGAGATGGCACGTTCCTCCTCTTGGACATCGGCATGAGTCAAAAGTGACCAGCGGCGTGTTTTTCAACCCTCCCCTCTGCTGACACACACACACACACACACACACACACACACACACACACACACTGTTGCTGGGCATACTGCGGCCTGTCAGAGTGAATCAGGACCAAACACTGACGCTGACTCCATGAAAAACTCAGCATCCGTTTCATATAAGTGACATGGGAAATAAAGGCATTCATTGTCAATAAGACAATCAGGGTTAGGGTTCATCTCACCATTTATTAAACTAATTTGACCAATGGTATCTCTCCCAGTTCTCACTACTAGGACTGCACAACTAATCCACATTTTATTGAAATGGTTAGACTAGTGCATAACACAATTTGCAGTATGCACAGTATTTGTTAAATAAGCTCAAATATGTGAATGAAGTAAGGGTGCAAAAATGACACCCTGCATTATTGTGAAAAGTCTGTCACAAAACATCACCAGTAGTTATTTTTCCACATCATGCGGCCCTACCCTACTTCTTTCTGTCTGTGTCTCAAATGTGTTCATGC